TGTCAAAGTAGGAAATAAGCATATCCTGTTATGAAACAGACCAAGGAACAGCAAAACCTCATTTATTCTGGGGTTTATAGAGAAGATGCACAATTTGCATTCAGGTACTTGTGGTCAGCAGAATGCAGCTGGACCTCTTCATAACACCAAGATTACAGATCCAGTGTACGTGATAAAAATGTTGTTAATCTCAAAGCCTGTGTTTTGAGTAAATGATCCAACTGCAGTCTGTCTGTAGACGTGGACCCAGAGACACAAAGATAGCTTAGATCCACATTGATCTATGTCTTCAAACCTTTAATGCTTTCAAGCGCATCACAACACAAGACTACACAAGCATCACAAGATGGCACAACAGGCTTTTGTATAGGATATATATTGAAAGAACTGGAATGTGAAGTTAAAATGCTTTTAGCCCAATCAATATATTGTTCTTTAGCAATATTAATAAAAAAAAATTCACAAATAGTGACATTTCCCATTGTCATCATCATAGGCGTATTGCTACATAATACGATATAATTAACATATTAAACATATTAGTTGGCTGAACTGACAAAATTGCAATTTAATATTTCAAAACCCACAAACAATCAAAGGCAACACTGAGGTTTTTTGTTTCAGTGAACCAAACCAAAAGAATTGAGACACATATGAGACCTGTCTCACTACAGTACATGATTAGGCCCAAATAAGATGCTTCTAAGTACTTACAGTACTACTGCCACTGATTAAAGTGACTCCACCCATGCTAGCAGCTCTGTGAGGCTGTATAATACTTGTGCTTTGACCTAAATGCTAGTGTCAGCATGTTAAACATGCTCACACTGACAATCACAGTGCCAACAAGCTCATGTACATATAATGCTTACAATGTTCACATTTTTAGTTAAGCATGTCAGCATGCTAGCATTTGCTGATTCTTGCTAAACAAACAGTACAGCCAAGGCTGATGCTTTGGTCCTATGGGCAAATAAAAATTTTGACCTAATGATGGTGCTCAGGGAAAGAATGAAGAGACCAAACACAATCTCTCTGAAGCTCTCTGCCAAATTTCATGGCACTATATTCAACAGTTGTCCATTTCACTTAAAACCCTAAATGTCAACCTAATAGTGGGACTAGAGGAAGGTTCAGGGGATCTTGAAACTATAAATGTCTGTAATTTGTACCAATCCAGCTGGTAGATACTGTGGTACTTCACAGGGTACATATCAAAGATGTTGGATGAAAACTCAGGGGATCACGGATGTCAGTAAGATTCATTCTCTGGGCATCGTGAATGTTTCATAATTGTTGAGATATTTCAGTCTGGACCAAAGTGGTGGATTGACAGCCAGACTGATTCCTCTGTCTCCATCTAATGCCTGTCGCATGTCACAAGTGCAATTTAAAGTCCCAGAGAAAGTCTCGGCCTTGAAAAATATTCAGACACAATCGATCTAGGGTAATTTTTAGCAGCTTGTTGGATCGGTTTCATGGGTGAATTGCTTTTTGATCAGAGTAAAACACACAATAAATGGCTTAGGTGACCCAGAGCTTTAGGGAGACAACATGAGCTACAGCCATTGCAGTTAGAATTCCCATCCCTGATTCCCCAGGGCCTTGTCCATAACAATTTCACTGACAGCCTTTATGCACAAAACTAAAATTTATGCATTTATTTTCCATAGTCACAGTACGACAAAACACATTTCCCCAGTCATCCATATTGTGCACATTATATAGGGGCTGGAGAGAATATATAGCCCCTCCTCTTTTCCTTCACCACCATCCTTTTCTTTTCTGTGGCAGTCCACTCATTCAGACTCGACTGACAAGCCACATCTGCAGCAGCAGCCACTGGCAGCATATCTGTGTTAAATTAGAGAACACCATCAAACAGTCTCGCAGCAGATATATCCCAACTTCTACCCTCAAGGCCTGGGAGCTGCAGACAACATTTTCTCTGTCTCTCTGTCTTTCTGTTTTGTTTCCGTCTCTCCTTGATTAAAACAAGGATTTCACATGCATTAGTAACTACAGCTCTTTAGCCCAAAGCTTTTTAAAGTTCCAGCGGGCTAAGGAGACAAGCCTCAAGGAAAATATGAAGGCCTTAAAAAGCTCGTGTTTTTGACATCACATTCTTGTTGTAAGTTTGCTTATATTATGCAAAAAATAAATCCAAGAAATGAATGTTTGGGTTTAGTCAAGAATTATTTTGTTTTTCCAGAATCACTTTAAAAGCATTTGCTATGGAGCAAAGCAAAAACTGGCCTAAACAGTCACATAAAACCAGTTGCTGCATGTTGCTTTGAACTCATGTGACTTGTTTTACTTGTATTTCTGGGCTCACATATCATCACAGACCTCACACGTTGCTCTTCTCCGTCAGAAAGACCTCCCAGGATAGTGCAGAATGAATGTAATAACAGAAGGGAGCCGGGCTCTGATCTTCTCCTAAACAAAAACACACTTAGAAATACACATTTCTCCTGATTTTTCCTTTTGCACTTTTCTGTCTCCACCTGGTGTTAACGCTATTACAAGCTACGGCAAGCCATGATAACCACTATTATTGGAAGAGCTTCTCATCACGTTGTTCAAGAGGAGCGCAGAATGTCGCATAGAGATAAACACACTGGACAGGAGAGAAATGTAGAAAATTACTGGAATGCAAAGCCATTTGTTGGTTCTCTAATGTCTGTCTGTCTGTGTAGCTATAATAGAATGTTGTATTCCTATCCTCCACAAGTGGCTACCTTAATGAAGTGCATTAGTCCTGAATGTGTGTGTAGTTCTATAGCGAGAGTACAATGAGGAGCTGAGGATCACAGTGAAGGCACAGGTAGAATGAGTACTCTTTGGAGTGTGATGTGTAGGTGATTCAGAGCTCCTAGTCAAAAACAACAACAACAACAACAACAAAAAACAATTCCATCCTGCTGGTTTCCCATGTAGAAATACTGCCTTACCATCACAGAACAGACAAGCCGAGTTCAGGTGGAGAGCAGAACGCTGAAGCTCTTCATAGCTGAAAGAGGGAAAGGGAGACAGCAGAATAGCGTGGATCTGTCAAAGGATCCGTTGTGTGCAGCTACATGAGATGCTTCACAGTCATTTCAGTTCATTAAGGCTGAACGATTCATTGAAAAAAAATGACTCTTCAGTGGTGTTATGAGGTAATCATGATTAGTATGACAACGAGGAATATCATGTAAAAAGCGGCCCTGCCATTCCGCCACAGTTTGCAGTGCATGATGTTAGCTTTTCCGAGAAGCTGATGGAATGACAATAGTGTTGAGGAGGCCCCCAGTGGCTCTTACTGCCTCATATCAGGCTCAGTCATCTTCACACTCAGTAAAGTCAGCACATTTCTGCTGCCATTAAATTTGCTATGGCTCATTGGGAATTGACACTGCACACTATCAGTGTCATTGTAATGCATTGTGAAATTCAAGAAAGATTCACTCCTTTGTGCTAGGAACAATCATTATTACTAAATACTCTGTTTAAATGACTGGCACTACATGCTTGGAAGTCATGTGTTATCACCTAACCAAAGAACTAATGATATTTATCCAGAAGTATACACTTCATCAGGCAATGGAATAATTGTTCCCACAAATGGCTACGGGATTAGTTTAGCTTGGCAGTCATTATTCTATCTCATATACTTGACTTACAGTTCTGAAGTTAACAGGGCTTTATTTAGTGTTGGTTGAAATTGCTTGCAGTGGCCTCAGAGTCAGAAATTTCTTTACTCCAATTTTCAGTGTCGTGAGCTGATTTCAAAATGCACAGCAGAGAGTTTCTTACTGAATCACACTGTAGGCTATGAGGGAGTGATGGGAAATTTTAATGAGGACTCTGTAAGAGCACGAGCCCACAGACTATTTGCTATGCATCAATATCTTATTGGTGTTTTCTAGAAAATCAGCGTAATTATTGTTATCAAACCAAGCTGAAGTTGTCTGAGAAATTTTAAAAATAATTCAAATATACGAGTTCTCTGATATTCAGCTAAAAGCAAAACATCATACAGTGCAGAGGGAATGCTAAATATCTTCTTGCACCTAAAGACGGCAGCACATAAGCAGCTATTTTATTACAGGCAAAAGTGCATAGATTTTGATTAAAATTTAATGTATATCTGCTCATTGTAATTTTATGATGAATTTAACTTTGTACGCATCCCAGCAGTTGCTTTTTTCTTTGTGATTTTCCAAAAATGTGAACACTTATTACTTTGTGGTACTCTGTAATCTTCAGTCAGCCAGTTATTAAATTAGAATGCCACATTATATTATGTCAAATTTGCAGGGTTTCATTACAGAAGTTGCCGCTGCACAAATTAGGTAGGCACAGAGGAAGTTTTGAGGGTGTATGTGGGTCCTGTCATAGCAGCCTATGACGTTAAAGCCACTGCAGGTCACTGAACTGCAGAAGGAGACAGGCTTGTCTTGCTCTGAGTGTTTATGCTGTTACAGTTATACAATCCACTCTGATATGATGTCAATGTCTTAGCTTCGTAGATATTTTGTCTGATTATCATGTTATCATGTTTGAAATATGGCGCAGTAAAGGGTGAAAATCTGAAATCGGGGATTTAGTGTGTATACATGTATATTAACACATGCTGTACATGAACAAATCCCTTTAATTGGTTTGAAACTGAGTTGTTTTTCTAAGGCTTTGGAAACAACAGTTGGTTTTTAGGACAACAGGCAAATTGCTTTATTTCTAGAAGGCATTCAGACTGCATTTGGCTGTTATATTTCCCAAAGCAATTATAGCCAGGGTGAATTTAGTTGTCTTCTGCTCTCCACGGTGGGCTTTGGGAATGTTTTCTTACCAGATTGGGCTGTGGAGTCGATATCTGTGTGGAGTGGCTTGTCAGAGTTGTGGTTAGAGACACAGCACACTCTGCTGGTGATGTGGAAAACACCTCTGTGGTCAAACCTAAAGTGTGAAAGGCAGCGACATAGATAAGCAGGTTACGCTCCTCTCTCTTGTTTCAGGTGTGTGTGAGTGCTCAGACTTCACCACTGGGATGACCTGTGAGCACTGTCTGGATGGTTACTATGGAAACGCTTTGATTGGCACACCTGGTGATTGTCAGCCTTGCCCTTGTCCGGACCATACCAGCTGCACGCAAATTGTAGAGACAGGCCAGGTGGTCTGCACAAACTGCCCTACAGGACAGAGAGGTGAGATGAAACACTGACCATGTAAAATAATTTGTATGGCACCACACAGTCGTAGTGAGCTTTATGTCAAGAACACTATGATAAAAACATTTCCACAAGAGCTTGAAATCGAGGCTGTTGCTTTAAAGCAGCTCTTTCTACAATACCAAGTGAGATTCACATATCTGATAGAAGTTTTTAATTTACTCATAACAGATGCTGAGGCGATATATGTGAATGACTTCCAAATTGTTCTAGTTCATGTAATTCCTGATCACCTCTTTCACCTTTCTCGTTGCGTAGGGATGCGCTGTCAGATGTGTGAAGATGGTTACTATGGTGACCCCCTGGGACAATCTGGGGAGGTTCGACCGTGTATGAGATGTGACTGTAATGGCAATGTGGACTTGAACGCGGTGGGAATATGTGACCACATTACTGGGCGATGTCTAAAATGTCTGGGACACACAGAAGGCAACAGCTGTCAGCACTGCCAGCGGGGTTTCTACGGTGACGCCTTAAAGCAGACATCTGGCCAGAAGTGCAAGCGTGAGTAACTCAGGAGGAACTTGGATGGAACATTGTTTGAGATTGTAATTTACTGATGTAAAAAAGAAGTTTTTTTTCTGAAAGACAATCCCTGTGTTCAAAAACGTGTTTGTGTTTCTTGGATGTTTGACCTCCACTGTGCAGAACAAGGAATCTGTATGTGCAGAGATTGACACTAGGTGGCTATTTTCACATTCATCTGCTGAAGAGACAAAGTTTCTCAGTGTTAAAGACAGAGGAATGATGTGGAAACCAGTAGTCGAATCGTGAAGTGCACATGTTGAACATTGAAAATAGATTTTTCAGAGAATTAGAAAAGCAGTTAAAGGTTTGAGTCAAAAATAGATTTGTGGATCCATAAATTCTGGGATGTGATGAGAAAACTCTGTTCTGTTCTGTTACCACAGAATAGGTAGATTTAAGTGATAGTCAATATATGGGACAAAGCCCATTAAAGACTACATGACCTTGGGATCACAGGAAATGGTGCATACAAATGGACTTGACTAATCAATTATAGAGTTCAGATTTGACAAGTATAGCACTCCTCTTGAAAGGCAAAAGCTGAAAATGGGGCAAGTCAAGGGCTGTGAGTCAAGAAGCATTCCAAAAAGAAAGAAAGAAAAAAGAGATGCATCAGATTGGCAGATTTAAATAAGTGTAAGTGAATCAAACTCAATGTTAGAAAAGGTAGACAGAGACCCAGAGAGTAATAGCTGTGATGTGTTCATACGTACGATACTTCGATTCTGCCTGTAAGCACCAGGCTGAATTTTTTTTCACAGAAAAATGTGAGGGAGGGATCCACAACTCTCCTTGGTACTGTCTGTCATTTCCTTCCATTTTCCCTTAAGCATTCTGGGACTAAATCAATAAAAAGTCCTTCATGCCAAGGTGATACATGAGCAAAATATAAACTTTCAACTGTGTAATGTAATGTTTGTTTCAATAATTAAATTGTTTTATTTGTTTTCTCAAGCCTGCAGCTGCAGTCCTGCTGGAACATCTGGGCCTGCAATGGACTGCCACCCTCAGACAGGAAACTGTCAGTGCCTCAGTCATGTGACTGGCTGGGATTGCAGTAACTGTGAAGTTGGCTTCTTCAACCTCCAACCAGGCATAGGATGTGAAAGGTAAATGGATCCCCAGTGCGATTCACAGTGGATCGATATAAAAAAATATATTATAACAGAACTTACATGCTGAACCTGTAATTAACATCGTATTTTCTTACCTACCCTAGGTGCAAATGTAATCCAATTGGATCATTGTCCACCGCATGCCATCCAGTCACAGGGCAGTGTGTGTGTTCTGCAGGAGTGGAGGGGAGACTGTGCGATTTTTGCCGTGTGGGCTTCTTTGGATTCTCATCACGAGGTTGCAGAGGTACAAGACTGTACTTCAGGCATCACAACTACATGATGTACCAATCTCCAATCCTCTAATACAGATCACACATGAAGGCATTTCTGACTCTTTAAATGTTTATCTTTGCTGTCACTGTGTGTTCCCCCCCCCCGCTGCCCTGTCCTCTCTCAGCGTGTAACTGTGACCCTATGGGATCCATTTCCATGCAGTGTCACAGTAACGGTACCTGCCAGTGTCGCCCGGGTTTTGTGGGTTACAAATGTGACAAATGTGAGTTAAACTATTTCCACAACAGAGCCACACACCAGTGTGAGGAATGCCCACTTTGCTATGGCCTTGTCAAGAAACAGGTGAGTTTATAGTTGTTTGTGTGTGTGTGTGTGTGTGTGTGTGTGTGTGTGAGAACTGCCATTCAGAGGAATGAAAATCTGGATTTTTAAAAGTGACTATAACCCTGCCATTGCTGCATTTTGAGGAATGGGGCTGCAGAAACAAGCTGTTTAAGTTGATATGGTGAACTTGTAAGCATGTTATTGCTATTTATACTGTACAGAAGCATAAGTAAAAATTTTAAAAAGTATTTTTTACTTTACTAATTATGCAACAGCAAAATAAACAAGTTATATTAAATGACTGTAAAGAACTCCAAAGCCTCCACTCCCACATGTCACATCTACTGTATTTAACATGCCGAATTTTAAAAGGTGACACTGTGTCAGTATTTATTGACGGCCAACATCTAGCTTAACGTTAGCCCTGGTGACTGCAAGAAGCAGTATGACTGAATACATACAGTATCTTGCTGTTTAGCTGCTAGATATTTCACAGTCTTCGCCAGATAGTCGCCAACCTTGTCTGCAGTTTGGTGTTGGGCAGCACCTGAAAACAAACAAAACCAACTGAATGAAATATGCTGAAATTGCTGCACAGAGCTAAGAGGAAACAACAGGCGGGTGATAATCCTATATTGAAAGATGCTTTTCACATATAGGCAGCCATTTTAAGCTAAAATTGTTAATATAAAAATAAAGATCATTCCCTGTTTAAGATGTTGGGCTAGCTGTCTGCTAAACTTTACACACATTCGAGTAGCATTAAAACCATAGGTCCACATCATATTTTAAGCTTATGGTATACTTTAGGGCTGCATGTATTTTCATCATTGATTATTCTTTTGTTTCTAAATTTCATAGAGTTGTATATAAGATGCATAAAGTGCATAACTGCAAGTTTACACAGGTAAAAAAAAAAAAGGAGTAAATCACTGCTTTTGAGAAGGTGATACTGTATCAGTGAATGTTTAGTATTTTTGATAAATGATTGTAATGTTTAATCTATTAGCAAGTTGTAAAATAATTTTATACTGATCAACTAATCAGTTAGCATCAGCACAAATGTTTTTTGCTTGTATGTCTATGCACTTGTGCCTTGCACAGACTCACAGGTATCTCCAACTGTACTAAACTAATGAAGTATAACAGGGAAAAGTCTGGCATTAAACAAAATGCTAAATTTAAGTCTGCATCTTAAAACGGTAGAAAACATTACTTCAGTATTTGTACTTATGCCTCTACTATAAAAATGTATTCTACTCATCTTTCTCAATTTTTCTCCATGGTCCTCTTCAGGTTTATAAATATGTGTTTGCAGCACATATTGTTGCACATATTTATACCTACATCAAGTATGGATTGTGTCTTGCTATTATGAGATGCCATTTGTTCTTGAAATAGCACAGTCCTCCAGCACATCCTGCCTTTGTAGATTCACATGACAGCTATATGTCTCTTTTGTAGTGGTAGATTGCAAGTAAATGGTAATGTGGCATGTCCTAATGATCTGCTGTGCAGCTCTTTTCTGTCCCTTTTGATTTGTTGTGATCCATGCCTGCATGCCAAGGTGCCGTCCCTGGATTTGCCTTCTGAGGCCAATCCAGTGCTGTCGACATATTCAGTCTTTTCTCTGTACATATTCTTGTTCCATCTAAAGTAGCTATGTGTTCTCTTCACTCCAGCTTGTACCTGGGTGAATGCATGGTGTGAATTCCAGTGTTAGCAATTCAGTGAACATCCCAAGCCTTGTCTGCTCTGAACACTTGCAATTACTCTCACTGTCCTCAGTCTCCCTCAGCTCTCCCTTTCTGCCTCTCCCACTCTCTATCTTTCTGCTCACATTTTCCTCTGGCTTACACAAAGGAAGGAAGAAGACTAACGAGCACAAAGAGACAAGGCTGAAAAAGACAGAGATGTGTGATCGATGATCAAAGAAGATATTAAAAAGAAACTGGAAAGCAAAAATAACGAATGGGATAAAGTAATGAAAAAGATATATGGTATTTGTTCCAGGGGAAAAAATGAATCACTGCAGAGGAGGACTCTATTTTTTATATAGCATGCATTTTAACTGGTGTTAAAATGATTTGACTGAAGCTGTGAGCTTGGTTGCCAACTAATTCAATAAGCAATCACAGATATTTCTACTACCAGAAAAACACTTGATAACTAAGCACATTCGCAGTAGGTACAACATGTATATTGGGTTGAAAAAGAGGCATCATCACAGCGAGGTTATCTGCTCTTTGTATAAATCTGCATCATTTAACTGCCAGGGTCAACAGACTGGTGTCAATCACATCACTATCGTTCCATTTTCACACCTCAACTTCAGTAAGAAGTCAAATCTAGTTATCTCCTGAAATGCTCTCCTCTTTCCTACATGCTATGCACAGAGTGGTACGAGTGGATGCAGATATGAAAACCATATTTTATCCCTATCCTGTAGTTGGTATTCATTTATTCATTGCTTTTGTTGAAATACTACATTTTGTTGTTATGGTGTATCAAGAATCAGAGTCATATCTAAATCCTTATGTCTGAACAAATAAATTCAGATCTGAATGGATAGATATTTTGTTTTGGTATTTCTTGTCACAGGCATCTGTTTTTTGTTCTCCAAAATCTGTGTTCTCATTGACACCATCAGTGATCAATCTTGGTGCCATTACAGGTAGAAAAGCTGAGGACTCGCCTGCAGGATTTGGAGAAGCTGTCGGCTCACTTTGATTGCCGAGGTGGATTTGGGCGACAACACCACCTGCTGAAGTATCACATGGCCAGGCTTTATGAGCATGAGCACCAGAGGGAGGATACTCTACCCAATGCTCTGGAGGATTTTCTGGCCTTCCAAGGTAACAGCAGCCAGAAGCCAAGATAATTCCACTGGGCCTGTCACTCCTTTTAATGTTTTCTCTGTGGTCATGACATCTGAATAGACACTTGGCAGCCTTTGCTTTGTGAAACATGAAGCTCTTTTATGTGCCACTCTATTGTGACACATTTTGGCTGGGAGATGATAACATGCAATATCAGTACATACAAGACCAGCAAGCATGGCTAAGAAATTTGACACCACCTCCAGCGTTCTACAAATGGCCTGTTGCTCTGTGCGTGTGACGTTGTTACAGATGCAAAGCAACAAAGTGATTAAATCAGGATGCAGGCAATACTACAAACCTCTCCCAATTACTTTAACACAATGCTGATATATCCTCATTATCTTTGGAGGGGAAGGGCTTACAGGCTCAGCTGCACAGGCCAAATGGAGACAAATCATAACAATATGGAACAAGGAGCCATGTGACCCTGTTAATCCCTGTTTATATGACAGGCGGTGCATCTCTAATGATTATAGTGGCAATCACAATAATACTTGTCTAACAATCACCCTCCCAACACCAGCATACTTATAGACATACTAGCCACGCTTTATAAGAAACTGGGTGGCCCAATAATGACTTAATGAGTGTGTGTGGGCAACAGAGTCCTGTGTGAGCGCACAGAGATAAAACCACTAGGACACACACACACACACTCTCTCTCATTTTATAAGACACAAAGACAGAAAACCAGCTAAATATGCCACAAATGAGGCAACAGATCCAGATGTCCTTTGGCTTCAAAACATGTTTGGATCCCTTCATTTTTTGCACACTCGATTGTGTTGTTGGAAGAATAGGACTAAGTGTACAAAGCTTTTCTTAAAACAATTTCCTGTGTATCTATTCATAAACAAGTCTACACTCTAATAAAGTGTACAAAAAGTAAGAAATCTGAAAACTTTCTGTATTGTACTAAAACTGCGTAGAATGCAAAGTAAGACTGGGATATGTACATGCACATTGAGAGCCGATGTACCAGAGTCAAATTCCTCGTGTGTCCGACACACCTGGCCAATAAAGCAGATTCTGATTCTGACAAAAGTGTTAACATCTGGACACAGTCCAGTATGACTGCAAACAAGTAGGAAAGATAAGAGTCTGAATTCGCACAGTAAATGAGAGATATGTGTTAAAACAGCAGCAGAATTGGAAGAATAAGCTTGGTGAAGTAATCTGTGAAAAAACTTAAGGTGGTTTTATTTGCTTTGCTGCTCTTTGTTCTTCCAGAGGCACGGGAAGCCTTCATAAAACAATTTTCCTTGCTGGAAGCTTCTACAGGCAAACTCTTAGCCCAGCTGCAGGTTATTACATCTGCTTTGAACTGCAGCATCAGCATGACAAAGAAAGAGGGGAAGGAGAGGAGGAAGAATGAAGGAAGCAGAAGTGTGTGTCAAACCTTCACAGAGACTGTGTTCATGATCAGAGCATCTCAGAAACAGCTCAAGCAGGCAACACTGGACCTGGACAATATGGTAGGCAAATCAAACATATTCTAAACTTGTGTGTTCTTTTGTATGTGTATCATTGTTTAGAATTGTCTAGAAGCTATAATGTATTCCACAGGCGTATTGATACTGTACAGTATGTAACATCACTGGCTTCTTGTCCTTGGAGTGATGTAATTTACTGCTGTTGGGGGAGATCTGTTGTATTGATCCACAGATATCCCCCATAGCAAAACAATATACATTATCTTACCCCCACCGTTCAACCCCAACAACCCTCCTACTGGCAAACACCTGCCTCCAAAGGAAAATCCAAAGACTATTCGATGGATGCTAAAATTAACAGCTCATACTTCACCCACCACAAGGCTTTTCACCATCTCTCTACAGCATTTCTAGGAATCTTTTATGGATACTGCTACCATGTTATTTAGGTTCAGGGAGATGAGAAAACTTGTTTTGCCAATATATAGTTGTCTGCTTCTGGTTGTATGTCTGTGTGTGTACAGAGATATACTGTTCCTCCATAGCCCTTATCACTTGGTAAGCCTGAAACAGCAGCAATTTAATTCTATATTAATAAGCAAAGCGGCCCCCAAAGTGAAGAAGAAAAATGCTAGTGTGGCAGGTGATTCAGTTTTCATATTTTTATTTGCATTTTCTCAAATTAGGTGTCACCAGGGAATGAGTCTGCATTTGACTGTGTACACATTACATTTATCAGGATAAAACCTAAGGGGATTTATTCAGAGGGGGAGGGGGGTTCCATATGCCCCTGCTTTGAACCTGTTTGTTTATGTATATTTAACTGGAGAGGTTTATTAGATGAGTTTTATTTTTTGGAAATTTAAAACAATGCCCAGACCGGCATTTTGAAGCAGACTCACGACTGCTTTTCTGGACCCAGGTTTTTCTAACAGCTTTCACACCAATCCACAATTCTCTGAGCAAACAGCACTGAGTCATTAAAAAGCCCTCCATTCAGCTGTAGTGTGAAAATCCCTCAATTATTAGATGGAAACTTTATTACACATGATTTAATTAAACATGCCAGCACAGTTTAAAGTCTCATCCAGGCCAGACATGTATTTTTTTTCAACTTCTCAGACCTGCTCAGCATGTTTCTTTCCTTCTCTACCTTTTTCATAGATCATTCCTTTTGAGTTGGTGTCAGGACCTACCAAATGGAACATTATGGTCAATGATTCACACGTCTTAATGAAAAGGTAAGCCAGGTCAAGGCAGTGCACTTCTAGTGGCCAATTATGAGCAAAGACCACAGTAATCTGTGGAACTTATTTCTCCTGGCTTCCTTCTTTTAAGCTTGTCACTTACATTCTACTTAGGCCACCGTGAACCGATGCCTTTGGCTGCTCAGTGTATGCAGCACTATTATGTGGTAGTTACAGAACTCTGGACTGGGGAGCCAGTGAGTTGAGGTCATTGATGCTGAAATCTATTTCATCTCTCCTCAGGCAGTTATAATGGTCTGTTATTCTACCTTACTCACTATTTACTCCTCTCACTTTGTTTTCCCTTTTTCCTGCCTTGTAGTCACAGAGAAATGGCAGATAACATTGAGGCCATAGCCGGCCGGGCGGTAAGCGCCTCAAAGCAGACCTTTGGTTTCCTGATGGATCTACTGCAGGACAACTCCACAGAGGAGTACATCAGGAACCTGACGGGGCAGTAAGCACAACAAGCAAACCCAAACACACGCCCACACAGACAAGCACAAGCAGGATGAATGTATCCCACTCACATGAAGCATACTTTATTGCAAACTCCAACAAGCTACATGACTCCCTGGATTATTGTGCTTTTGCAGTATGTTTCTGACAAAGTGCACCTAGCCCTGTATTACAGCTCAAGGTCCTCTTTCTCACAGCAGTCTTTTAAAGCACAGTGGAGTTTAAGAGTAAGACATTTAGCCACAGGGGGACAGCTTCTCTCCACTGTAAGCCTATTGCTTTCTTGGATTTGCCGCACACTTGCTGCATCTCCTAGCGTGTGATTGCTCTGAGGATTATCCAGAATGCTAGACAGAATGATGCAAAAAGCCCTCCGCTGGCCATGATGAGAGCAGAAGCGAGGAACTCAAAATTGATTACCCCCTTCTAACTGTAGTCAGCTTGGTTCAGGAGAGTTCAGCTAATCTTTAGGGCACTGTTGTATGACAGTGTGTGTGTGTCTGTGTATGAGTATGTGTGTGTTTGTGTCATTTTATAGGATGTAAAGTGAGCAGTTTATGCCCAGATGGGCTGCATAAAATTACATTTCCCACACATATTTTCCTACATGTTGCTACTTAAGCAGATCAGCTGCATTTTATAGGCAGGAAAGCTATCCAGTCACAAAAATGACAAAAGGGTTCAAACTGTCACCAAAAATAATCCCATATTAGTGGGCCCTAGTATCTTTAATACTATTTGACTGTTCTTATCAGAATCCTACTTATTTGTGCTAACACTTAAAATAACTTATACGTTTTCATTATTAACTGTATCTCTGTTTATATTCGGTGGCAGTAAAAACAGTGTGACACTATACTACAACATTTTCTGCTGCTTCATATTTCTGCTAGAAACTTTTTACTCCACTACATTTATTTAACAGTGATAGTTAACACGTTTTTCAGACTGACATTTTATAAAAAGTATATGATAAGCATATGAAATATGTTGAAGTTGCTTTGAGCCAGTTTCACCAGCATCGCTGCTGCATGTGTCCACCCTGCTGCTCCAGTTATCGCACCCAGTATGTCAGTGCTTCTGCAGTACCCTTCACTGGAGGTCAGCACAACACAAACAAGATTTTCACAGGGGATTAAGTTACTTTTTAAAGATTAAACTGATGGTTCTCAAACTTTATGTCTGCGTCACCAAACATTCTGTCTCCTGTGCACTACAGAGCAGATACTTTTCACAGGCTGTATACAAGCCGTGTTGACATCTGTATCCGTGTGTGTGTGTGTGTGTGTGTGTGTGTGTGTGCTCTAATGAAACAGACTGACTATCATCACAACTGTGGAGGTGATAAAACTGCGTTTTAACATCTACCGCACCTGCCTAACACCCTTCATGAATTCATCATGCCTTCTTTGCATAATGTTGCCGTCTCTTTGTGCACTTATAACAAGTCCCATTGTCTTGTTTCTAGATTTATTTATATCAATTTCAGTATGGAACCGCAAAATAGTTTTCAAATAACCTGTGATATGACACCGTATGTGCAGAATGATGTGAAATATGTGTGGGACTCTTAGTCTGTAGCAGCGTATGTCTTTTCATCATCCTAACACTATCAAATGTACAGAAGACATACCGATATTAATTATTATGCATTAATTATGCATTACAACATCATTTTTAAAAAGTGGCTATTATATTCTTTACTACAGTTTCTCTACTTTCTGCTGCTTTCACATCAGAATAGCACAAATGCAGCAGCAGAAGCAGAACATGACATCGCAGGTGAATGACACTGTAGCCAAACAGCTGGCCCTGGAGGAGGAAGCTGCTGGTTTAAAGCTTGCCCTGGGTAACATCACATCATCCTTTCATCAGTTGGCTCTGACAGATGCCAGCCCATCACCGCAGCCTGAACAAACACAGCTCAACCAAACACAACCAACCAACCATACAATAGAGGTCAGTTTGAACAGCACCTGCAGGATACCAATGGAACGTGAAGAATTATTATGTTGCATGTTATGAGTGAATCATTTAGTCTAGTTAGAGCTGGTATGATAGCTACACATTTTACATAAGAAACCACTCCAGGTCATTTAACTAGGCTCATGTGGAGATACAAGCATCTTTCATTTTATGAAGAGTGGGTAGTTAACACCACTTCATTTTATTTTCTTGATTTAACATTTGGCAAGGAGAGGGGGACACTGAGTAGGCACAAGAGAGAAGATTCTGGCAGGATTTGCTGCTCATTGGGGTTTTGTGTTGTTCAAGAGGAGGGTGATTAACCACTGCAGCATCTCTGAGCAGACAAAATACTGGAAAATTACACCAAAATAGGCTAATGTGCCTTCTGTAAATGGCTGAATGCAGGTTTTGCAGAAGTGGTAAATGAAGTTGTTTTAACCGAAGCACTGAGTTTGTGAATCTCTGCTTTCTGTTTAGTGGGCCAAGGACCTGCTAAAACAGACAAAAGAGTTGGACCGGCAAATTCAGACCAAAGACGAGCTCATCAGTAAGATCAGAGATGAGATGGAGGCTGTAAAGGAAACCACCAGTAAAAACCTGGAGATGGGGGATGACATCACTGAGGTGACTACATTTACTGCTGCAATATTGTGTTGAATTTTCTTTTTATTGCTTAATGCATTAGCCATGATAGCAGCATGACTTTATACTACTATATATGGTAATGTTTGTTTGTTGGTTGGTTAGTTTATAACTTGGTCAGTCCATATCTGAACAACTGTTGAATGGCTCTCCATGAATTTTTGTACAGGCATTCAAAGTTCCCAGAGGATGAATCCTGACTTTTTTTTGTACAGTCATCAAGATATCAACATTTGTGGGTTAAAATAAAATGTCTCAACAAGTATTGGATATATGTACATAATACTTGGCAGTACAGATTTGTATGCTCCACCCAGGGGGAGCTGAAAAATATTTGATAGCACCTAAAGTTTCATCTAGGACCATCAACAGATCAAAATGTAATTGTGTTCAGTAATACAGCGATCAAATACCAGCAAAACCTATGACAGTCAGATCAGTCTCAGCTGCTTATTGCTAATTATCAAATGCTAGCAGTCATGCTAAACTAAGCTGGGGAACATAGTAAAAAAATTATATCTGCTAAACATTAAAATAGTAGCATTAACATTGTTAGCACGTTGATGTCAGCAATTAGTTCAAAGCACCACTTTAACAAAGTGCTGTCTCACACAGCCGCTAGCACTGCTGTAAAAGTTTAACTGACCAAATGCTACCCTCCCACCAGTTTACACTACATTAAGCTTTTACCTGTTATTGCATGCTTTGTATACACCTGACTTCACTGAGGTCATATTTCATCCTTCCATGCCTCTTCTTGAAGCTGCAAACTCAAGCTCAGGGAGCAAAGGTTGTGGCTTTGTCATTGTCGAATCAGAAGCCACTGTCCTGCACAGACAACTAAAAAGTGAGTCTTTTTCTAAGTTGTTAATCCTTTTGACTGTCTTTACCATCTGTCTTGCATTGCTGTTTTTGTTGAACAGCCAAATAAATTGTTCTCCTCAAATTGAAATGTCAAGTACTGAGACTGAAAACAAACATGCCGTAAGAGCTCCAGGCTCAGATATTACTACTGTATAATAAATATGTCATCACCATTGTGATGTTTAGACCTACTTGTCATGTTTTGAATCCAGAAGCATCTTATGTAGAAAATGTGATGAAATGGAATGTTTTAAGAATTTTTACAGCACCAGTTTCTTTAATGAAATGTTGACATTTTGTGATACACGAAGAGACCCTTAACTAGTTTGCCTGCTCAGACTATCACTGAAATAGTAAAGCAGATACTAAAAGCAAACAAGCAGGTAATAGATGAAGAGTGTCAGTACAATTGTTAGAAAATTCAGTAAGTAGATTAAACATACCTGCTTGCCTTCTTCCCAATTTCCACTCAGACATGGTGAGGGAGTGGCCCCGTCAGCAGGCCCAGACCATGGCTGCAATGAAGAAGGAGAAACCCCTGAAGGAAAAGGTTCTGGTTGATGTTAGGAAAAGGATTTCGCAGATCGAGAAGATGCTAAAACCAGCTCAGGAAAACTCCAGCCTCTCCAACAACATCACAAAAGAGGCAGAAAAAACAGCACATTCTGTAGCAAAGGTATGTGTGTTTGTTTTTATTCACTAAGCTAGCCAAGCAGTTTTAGAGACACATTGTCATTTCATAAGTCAGTCATCTACTTTGTTCCACACTGAAATATCTCAACAGTTATTGGTGGATTGCAATGAAATTTTGTTTTGACAGACATGGTCCCCAGAGGAAGAAGCCTAGTTACTTTAATGGTAGACTTACTCTGCTGTGAGGTTTACATTTTGGTTTTTTGTTAATTGTCTTGACAGTTATTAGATTGCCATGAAATTTTGGACAAGCATCATGGTCCCCAGAAGATCAGTCCTAATGACTTGCAGGTCAAAGTTCAGTTTATCCAATGAAATATCACTATCTCTACAAAATGGATTGGTACAAATTTTAGCACAGAAATTCATGCTCAATACCATTCAAGATGATAAATCATATTGACTGAACTGTCTCAATGACTGTTAGATGGATTGTCATGATATTTGGTCATTCATGTCTCCTCGAGATGAAATGCAATAACTTTGGTAATTTGTTTTCTTCTGTAAGCAATCAACCATCTCTTTTTTCTTTCTGCTTGTGTGCAGGAATCCAAGGCCATTCTGACTCAGGCTAAGCATACCAGAACTGCATCTGCTCACCTTAACTCCCATATAGACTCTGCTTTACAGCAGCTGGCTAAGCAGGAGATGCTAACTGACAGAGCAAACTCCCGGATCACCTCAGAGGTACGTAACACAGCCACATATACATTTGAACAGCAGGAGCTATGCATATTGATCTATACTTCCTGTGTGCAGCTTGTTTCTAAAGTACCCCTTCTTATTCCCAGCCCGAGCTGACCCTGACTAACACAAAGGAAGACATGGAAGCAGCCAAGCTCCAATTAGAAGCCTATTCTGTTACATTAACTGAGTTAATCAGCAAGATTGGTAAGTAGTGCTGTTTATAAGACCAGGAACATTTTCTTGTGGACATTTCAGTGCATTAAAATAATTCAGCTGTGTATTTCTGGCCCAGTATTGTCTCACCTATTCATTCAAACCCACTTATTCTATTGTGTATTGTACAATATGCAGAATTAACTAGAACAGTAGGGATCTGGCACTTTGTGGTCAACATGTTCTTGAGAATATAATGACCAAATTATTAGAATTAGGTCATCATGTAGGCTGATCCATCATTTGAGTCACTGATTTAAAACCATAAGTCCATAAAACAGAAACTCCTGAAACCACTGTCTATTCTTTCTCCATCTGTTCTTTCTTTTGAATGTCCGCACCAGATGGGAGTGTGCCACTGGAGCGATTTGATCAGATCTTGAATGAGACAGCGCGTCGTCTGAGCATGCTTCGTGGGAGTGTGGAGAGCCCAGCACTGGACACAAAGATCCAGAGGTTGCGTTCAGCTGCTAAGGAACAACAGAGTCAACTGTCTCTCATTGAGCAGGACTTACAGGAGATCACAGAGGAAAGAAACAGTCTCAAGGACATTGCCTTAAACTTGCCTCAGTCCTGCCCCCAGGCCACAGGAACAAGTAAGGGCTAGATACTGTAGATGGTAGGCATGAAGTCACTGATAAAAGGATTGGGAAGATTTTGTTAATTAAATGCTCTGTGGTCACGTTTTATTCAGCTTCAAAGAAGTCAGTGATACAATTTACCCTTTCTTCTATTCATCCCTCTTTCCACCCTTTGCCCAAAGATACAATTTACCAATTTATCACCACAGTACATTGACACATACATTTCCACAGACTTCTGCACTGTCTCCCATGATTTATACCTAATCTTCTTTCACCTTCTTTTTGTTTCTTTTTAAGCCTTTTTTTCTCTCAGACTCTTTCAGCCAACAACATCCAAATTTTAATTTCACCATGAATAATAACCAGGCAATCTGAAACGCTGTCAAGTTTAAAGTAATGCTGCTTTACCTTCTTGGGGTAAAAAGTGTATCAGAGTGCTCTTCCAGACTGACCTGTTCATTTACACTTGAGCTATTTTTTCATCAGCTGGGCTTAATTAACAATTAGTCCTCTTGGCCTCAGTGGGGTTTAGGTCAGGTTTCAACAGTGTTCAGGATTCTCACATTGCCTACCTCTCTGTTTTGTGATTTCTCCATTGTTTTTCTTCCTCTCTTTGTCATTGTCAAATGCTTAAGCATCTGTGTTAGGGTTATGAATAGTTACAATGAGTTAAAATGTAAACACAAATATCAAATACAGCTTTTTTTTTTTTACTGGTAAAACTCATGAAGTGATGCTATACAAAAATGATTTGCTTTTCTGTCCTTACAAAGGCTGTATAACTGGCCAGGGATCAGACAACAGACTACCATATACATCTACTTACTATATCATAATTCTCACTGGTTTGAGTATGTACAGCCTTCACATAGAGACCATGACTCAATAAAGTACCCTTGAAAGGGTCATTTTGCACATTAAAGTGTTATCATTTTTAATGGACAATATAATCACTACTGTGTAATATACAAAGGAGAAGGTAGTCACACCTGCCTACCAGCACCTCTAAATTTCACAAATGAACATGTTATATGTTTTGGTCCTTAAAAAATAAATTGTAGTTTTACATGGGAGATGTATGTGCAGGATTATTTCGTGACCAGATGTAATGTCTTCTTGGCTGTGTGGCCACCTCACACTGACAATAACACACTGTTTAAATCTTGTTAAACAAACAAGAGATAACATGTTAATTTGTGAACTTTGTGCATTGTTGTACTGTCTTAATTGTAAAACAAATTGCAATAGCACAAATATTCAAACATAACACCAATGAATTTGAACGTACAATATAATGCTATGTGATACAATAACACTTTATTATTGGGTTTGTTATTTTAGACATGGAAAAGAAGAAATAGAAAGAGAAAATAACTTTTTGCCAATCTGCCAGTATTGAGTATTTGATTAGTTTATTGTACAAAGATAAAGACACAGCAGAAATAATCTGTTTTATTTGGTTTTAGCAAAACAGTGGTAAAGTACCACAGTAACAAATGTAGACCAGTACCCCAGTTTGATGGCATAGAGGTCACTTTCAGTCAGTTTAGCAGCTAAGAAGAGATCACTGTCATTATAGTATGCAAATGAAATCCAAACTCATAACTGCTAAGAGGAAGTATGAAGATAGAGGATATCAGAGTACTTAAAGCTATTACTTATTACGGTATCCATGCTTCATATTAAAGTGAATATTGCAGCATTCTTCCTGAATGCATGAATATAAGACATGACAAGTGTATCAGTCCTTATTTGCTGCAATAGCTGTGCAATACTACTTATTTACTACTGTCTGACACAATATCAAACAGCATATTGTTTGAAATCTGACAAGACAATAGTAAAAAGCAGTTTACCTAAGTCATCTTCTGTTATCAACCACATTCAAAGCAACTCGAGTTCTGCCATTGATCTTTGCCTTCAATTTTCTGAGTGAATCAATAGTCATCAGCTCTATCACAGTGTGATTGTGCTCCCAGCTAAATGTAGATAAATAATAATTCAGGATAGCCTTTGAGTGTAAACAGCTGTCTTGTTGTGCTACAGGGGGAAGGTTTCAATAAAAGAACAGTTACACTGGAGAGAGAGGTTTTCTCTTTCAAACAAAATGTAGTCACTTTTCTTACATCTGTTACTTGCAGTTCAGAATAAGTTCTTGAATCAGAATAAGAATAAGTACTTGCAGTTCAGACGAGCACTCATTTCAGTATGATCAAATTTTTTCAGCAGTTACTGAAGCATTCAGCTCCCCCAAACCAGCAATGTGTCTTAGTGTTTCTTTCTTTCTGCTAATTTCAAAGCATCTGCTTGTTTCTCCATTTTTCTTTAATGAGCATAGCTCTGTCAGTTTGTCGCACCATGTGTCTATTGTAGTGTCAGTACTAAAGATGGGGAATTCTGAAAATGTTTTAAAGGTTTAAGGTAGTTTACATTTTATTTTTATAACAAATTGTGTTTATTGTGTGCAGGTCTGCAAAATGATTGATTATGCAGTACCTTCACATAAAGGCGTCTTGGGGTTTATTTGTGTTAGATTTAGTTTAATGACGGTTAGAAAAATGTGGCCAATACACGTGTAACTTTTTCCTATATAGCATATTTTCCGTGGTTTTTTTTATGATGCTCAGCCATTTCTCTAAATGATTCAGACTGTAACCTTTCCTCATGTAATTTCATAACAGATATTAAGACTTTTATAAGATTTTTCATAACAATCATAGTATATTTATAACCGAAAACCTTTCTTGAGTCAGTCCTTGCAGAACAGGATTCCATCCCTTTTAATTTTGACAGTTTAACCCAT